TGTGTGTGTGTGCCTGCATAAGTGTGCCTGTGTAAAACCCTCTTCCAGGAGTTTAGGAGCGCAAGGCGGGCGTGCAAAAGGCTGCCCAGCTCTGAGGCGCCGCGCCACACGCTGCCCAGAGCAGTCCATGCAGAAGAGGCCCCAAGGCTTCGAGACCTCCCAAACAGCAAACGGCCCCTGCGTGGACATCCGATTCCTCGGGTCCCTTAACAGTCAGAATGGGGGGCTTTGGGGGGGGGGGGGGGGNNGGGGGGGGGGGGGAATATTGTACTATGTATTGTACGGTTTCTGTAGGGACTGTAAGGGATCAGGCGCCTAAGAGCACAGGGAAACTGAGTTTTTCGGCATGCCGCGACATCTCCAGCGTGCCTCGAGCTTGAGGAGGTGCACCTATCATTTGATCGAAGGATCCCTCTCTGCCGCTGTCTCCACCCTGGTTCCGAGCGGACCTTCAGGTGGTAGGGGTCGTCTTGCCTCGGTGGCTGATAGAGCAGTTTTTGCCGAATTTTAGCAGCTCATGGCCTGCAGGCAGCTGGGGCATCGGCCACGGTGGTCATCGCTGCAAGCGAAACCAGCACCAACCTGCCGCAGGCCGGTTTGGGTTACTGCGAGCGGGTTTCTGCCCACTGGGAGCCGTGCAATGTCCACGAGACGCCAGCAGCAGAGGCTGACAGAGGCCGATCCTGCACGAAAGGATATCGAGCCAAGGCGCTGAATCCCCCCCCCTACCACAGCCTGAACGCAACTGCAGCAACAAAAAGTACCTGTTGCTACCCGTTTTGTCGATGTAAGGCCCATCCCTTAAGCCTTAAGCGCATCGTGGCGATGGTTTGCTCACTACTGGCAGGAACAGAGCGGCAGCCTGCAACTCGGCTGGGGTCGGCAGCCCCTTGCCGCGCTGACTCGCCAGATGCAACCTTCAAGGCCACTCGTGACCGTCCAAGGGCCCAGAGAAGTCAATACCCCTTAATTAAGGAATATNNAATCATAATATTCAGGCCCCTATAATGTAAGGTATATTCCTTAACTCAGGCGTATTGGGTTCTCAGGGGAGTGGGTCCGAGGTTCTGAGCAGAACCCGGAGTCGTGAAGTGTGGCGTGGGAGAGCGAGTCCCTGCGACGCTAAGCCGCGAACACGCCGCCGATGCCCCCTTGGCCTTCGCCTGACATCCGCGCGGGTCCGTGCGTCACCCTAAGACCTCCAATGCGTCTCGTGACCTGAGCGGCCTGCAGATTACCTTGATTAAATTGAGGTGAGGCTGCGAGAAACAAGCCTTCCCTCTTGAGGTGCCTCATGGTGCCTCTCTTCATAGCAGCGCTAACTCTCACAAGGACCCTACAACTACATCCATAAGCCCTCCCCCTAAAGGGTACCGATCTTAGCAACCCTTCATAGTACCCAGGCCACTCACTAGAAGGGACTCTTTCTTCCAGCTAAACCACCCTAAAACCCTCAACTCCTAAACCCCAACACCCCAAAGCCCCCTGGCCTGCACAGGAGGCCCCGAAGAGGAGGAGCAGAAGGATCAGCGTGTCCGACTGCCCAGGGAAAGGGTTTAATGGGGGTTTATAGGGGTTTAGGGCTTTAAGGGTTTAGGGGGTTAGGATTTAGGGTTTAAGGTTTAGGGGTTTAGGGATTGAGGGTTTGGGGCTTCTGCGGGCCTTAGTTCTTTAGCTCAGGGCTACCTGGGACAGACGTAGGGTTCCCTAGGGCTCCTTCGTGTGCGAGGTGCATGGCTAGCTATCAGTCGGGTTGTAATAAGTGGGGTAACTGTAGTTATAACCTATATATTAGGGGATTTATAACCCCACCTATAACTACCCGTGAACCTCCAAGTAGGGTTCCTTCGGGATCCTTGAGGTCCTTGGAGTTCCTTGGGGGTTTGTTCGTCTGGCCATCTAAGGACTCCAGTTTAGGGTTTAGGGTTTAGGGGCTCAGGGCTTAGGGTTTAAGATCTAGGGTTTAGGGTTTAGGATTCAGGGGCTTTGGGTTTAGGGTTTAAGATTTCGGGTTTAGGATTTAGGACCTAGGGTTTAGGGCAGTTTAGGGTTTAGGGTCCGTCTCAACATCTGCCGCCGTCGCCTTCCTGCCAAAGCATGGGTTCGAGGGGTCTTAATAATTAGTAGGAGGGCCTTGGGTGTAGACTATACAAAGTATACGAGGGTTCTAAGATTCTAAGGGGACTAGAAGGCGATAGTATTACGAGTTATTGCCACGGCTGCGAAGGTCCAGAGGCACGTGTCTTTCCCTTCGCAGCTCGCACCCTGCGCAGTCTCTAGACACGTCTAGGGCTTGGAAACTTGATGCGGCATCATGAGCTTTCGAATGAACCATCCAATAAAACCAACTTTATGTTGCCGCACCGGAAATATGCATGCAAGGTTAGCTGCACAACTACATACCTGCATAGATACATATGTGGGTGTGTGGCGGCATGCGCATATATGACGATGTGATAGAAAGCCTCCAGCTGGGATCTGATGCGCATCATGTTCAGCCGGGCCAGACGCCTCTTCACCTTTCATGCGCACTCGCTGCAATGGTTTAGGGCCGAGGGAACCTATCTAAAGTCATATGAAAGTAGGATAGCTTCAACAGCAGTAGTGATCGATTGAACAACGACACCGGTAGCAAGAAGGGTAGTAGCCGTGGCAGCACCATCTAGATTACGACTGTTTCTGCTCCTCGAAACAGCTCGCCATGCCGCTGGATACCCCTCCCGGCCTGATAGCGTATCAGGTTCGCTGAAACCTGGCACTGACACAGCTGTGTGAGCTCCAGGATGAAGCCACGGATGACAGGATGCACAGAGGCTCAGGCTGCCGTGGCTGCCACCAGCGGGAATGGAAACCACCTGGACCCTGGCACAGATGAAACAACAGGAAGAGAGTGTCCAGAGTAATTAATACGGTGGTGTCTACTGTTCATGATACCATGCAGAGGGTTTATGTCCCAGCATGAGGCCCTCCATTCCCCAACCCTCAAACCCATCAGGTCCCCCTAAACCCTTAAACCCCTAAACCCCTACACCCCTAAACCCCTAAAACCCTAAACCCCTAAATCCCTAAACCCTGCGTTAGTCACGTGAAACAGGCACAAGCAGACCCAGGTGGCAGCACATGAGCATCCAGAAGAAAGACCTGATCGGGTTGAGGGAGCGAGGCCAGGGGTTCGAGCTGTGGGGGTTTTAGGGGTTTAGGGGTTTTCAGGGGTTTGGGGTTTTTAGGGGTTTTCAGGGTTTGAGGGGTTTAGGAGTTTAGGGTTTAGGGGTTTAGGGTTTGGGTTTCACCCGGGCCCGAACCCCCAGTAGCCCCGGCCTGGCGCCCACGGCTTGCCAGGCAAAGAGCACCAGGGAGGCAGCCACGGCTGCGGAGAGCGGGGGCCTTGCAGAGAGCTGGGCTCAAGGGGCCTTTTGGCTTTTTGAAGCCTTTGGGGCTCTCATACGTAGAGATTTCGGGTTTAGGGCTTAGGGTTTATAGGGTTTAATTAGGGCGGTTTTGGATGGCTTAGAAGGCTCTGGGCTTCTTGGGGGGCCAACCTGAAATAAGCCGCAAGACAACCCAATACGCAGGGCCTTATCCACCGGGGAGAGCAACACCGAAACTCCAAACAACCCCAACTCTGCGCAGCTTTGGCAGTCAAGAGCGGAACAAGCTTCAGGTGTTGAGGCTTAAAACCCTTGAGGGCCCCATTCATAGAAATCCCCCCGAAAAAAAAAACATAAAGCCTAAAACCCGAAACCCCAAACCCTAAAGCCCTAAACCCTAAACCCTAAACCCCTAAACCCCTAAACCCGCGTTTCGAAGCGGTTCCAGCGAAATCTCTCGCTCTTTTTCCCTTGAG